TCGTGGAAGATCAAGTTCAGCCATCTTTTACAACAGGCTTTACAATCGGAAATGCTAGTTTAAAACTGTGTTTTACAACACTGTACAACCGCTAACAACCACGTTTACGCAATTGTAGAATAGCCTTTACTAGTTTCCAAATATAATGCAATTTTATACCTGTATATTAAGTAATGATAATTTTAATAAAGATTGAAAAAAATCGGAAATATCGCGACTAGAGCGCGTAGTTTTGTCCGCGATGGACGAGAAGGATGGTTCCGGATAGAAGTCGAAGCGACACGAGGCACGGCGACATGTGACTCGAACACGTCTATCTGCAAATAATCAGCGCTTATTACCGGACGAGGGTTAATACGCAACGGCCGACCAGGTGAATCACGCCAAAGTCAAGGGTGCATGACGAGCAGCTCGTGCACACAACGATCCACGATTTACCCTCTGCCCGCCCCCGATTCGTCGTTTCGGAAAACACCTGCCCCTGCCCTTCATTTGCGTTCATACGCGTAATTGTATGCGCACGAGCTGCCAACGTGCGCGATGCGTATCGGCACAGAAAGTCGTAAAGCTGTACCGAAACGATCGTGAACTCCGATATCTCGCCGGCCATCTGATTATTATTTTAATTCTTTTTTTTCTGTTCTCTTTAGTTTCGCGAAACACTTACTCCTCGAACGCTGCGCCCTGTTTATTTGTCTATCTATTTAATGTATTAAACTCATTCTACATTTACTAAACTTTGTTTTAGACTTATTAACTACTTGAGACGGGAAACTTATAGTCAACCCAACTGGCTAGTTTCTCGTTTCAATTTTTAATCATTACTGGTGACAATAAGCAAACTCTCCTTTCGTTGTTAATTACTGTTTCTAAATAAACAAATTGTCCGATTTACCGACCATGAGAAGAGTTACCTATACATTTGGTGCATGAAACGGAACTGTAAAATTATTATTCAACTATTGTTGAAATAATTTGATACCAAATTTTTTCTGTATTATCTAAAATACCTGGAGGGATAAACTTCAATGCGTTTAGGGTCAGTTGTTCCAACCTCTTGGTAAGTTAACTAATAGTTGAGTCATATATATATGTCTTTGTTTTTTCCCTTCAAGCTGTACAAGACAAAGATAGACATATAATTTAACTATTAGTTAACTTATCAAGAAGTTGGAAAAACCTGCCCTTATTCGTAAAAACACTCCATAAAGAAATAAATGAAGGATAGTCTAGCGCAAGTTCAGCCTGCGTGACTGGATGCTTACCAGTTTCTCGATCGCTTCTGTCCTCAGTTGTATTCTCACCCAGCATGTCCTGCAGCTGGAGCGGCTCCCGAAGGCCCAAAAGGAGCTCCTCGCCCGTTGCAATGTCGCGAACAGCCTCATACACCATCTATTATTAGAGTTGTTATTATTCAATAACGCTCAATTTGCAAATCTTTTAGCAACACACCGCAAATATTTTTAAATTCTTTACTTTTGTAAGGCCAGGAATTGTGACGTAAAAATTAATTCTGCGAGACATTTTTTAATTTATAAAGTTCATAAAATTATGCCAAAACTTTTTATTTTTTACCGCAATATGTAATTATTTTTTAAATATAATTTTTGTAGAATAACAAATGTATATGCAATTGCATTAGTTGCGTGACGTTGTGTTAAATTATTTTTATCACAAAATGACTATTTTTATACTTTAATATTGTTGACGGTAAAAGAATCGCTACAAATACATTGCAAAAGCAACAGTACATAGGACTATTTTTCCGCTTCATGTCCAAATAAATTAATGATAATGTTAACGAAAGAAACCTGGTAAAACTCGATGCTGTATTGATGTTTCGGGCGATTGTGCGCGTCTCGATTTTATTAAGGAAAATCCCGTCACACGCGGCACGTAATCTGCATGCGATTCTATAGAGTTCGGTAGTGGGAAGCCATGAAACGATCTTTATAGTGTCGTCACGGGGCCCCGAAGCATCATTATGACGACGATTTTGCAGGGCACTGATAGAGAGCGACGGCGTCCCCCATTCCCACAGCGATTGCGAGAGGGCGTATAGGAAGTCAGAGAAACGACCCCGTGGGGTGACTTAATAACTAAACACCCTGTATACATGTAGCTTACGTCGCGCCCACAACATCGAGAATACCATGTGCCACGGTTCACAGCGAGAAAGAGAGAAAGAGCCAAATGGACAGAAGCATGAGCTCGACCCTAAATTGACACCGTGACCTCCATAGTTTCCATCTATGTCTATTCGACGGCCAATCATATATGAGTACAGTGCTTTTAAGAGGAATTAGAAGAGAAATCTATCGTCTCGTTATTTTCTTTTATCAAAAGATCGTTTGGTAATTAAAAATCTTTTTAACACTTATAGGAACTGATTTATATTATTATACAAATTCTGATGTTCTCTTTTAAAGTGCGTTTTATAAATTATTATTTTATTTCCCCAAATCATTTTCCTGTTTCGCATTAAAAAGTGAAAAAACATTGTTTGTCTGCTTAGTGACGAGGGAATACAAGATTTTACATCTAAACGAATTCTAAAATTAAAAACGAACGTGTACATTACAGGAAAACAGTCATTTGAAACAAATGGCTGAATATACGGAGAATAATATGATAATTTTGTAAAGTACTAATAAGCTTTTTAACAATCGATGACATATGTGCAATAAATTGGAACTCTACTTGGCGCGTAATTATTACTTCCTATTAACTGCAACTGTCGATCGAGTGTCAGTTGCGTATAAAAGTTAAATACAGGGTGAATCAGAAAGTGGCTGCCAAGTGTCTAAAACAGGGCAATTTTGTTCGCAACGATGCAGCAACCCTTTATCATATTGTCAATACAATTGCTAATAATATCAATAACTACGAGGATTAAATAGAGAAATCCACATCGTTCTTTATCTTGCAATAAAATAAGCTGTTCATAAACTCGCATGTATTAGTGATTTCTGAATTGTCAACAACTGTGGGCATTTTTAACGTCTAAATTAATTATAATAAAAATACAAATTAAATACAATTTTAATGCGAAATAATTCGTGCATGTCACCCGCACATGAGGTACGAAGAAGTGAAGGATTTCTTTTTATACTCGTGTACGAGGCACCCGGATCGAAGCTCAAGATCGCAGATGCCGATTAGCGATACCAATAATTCACTTCTCTAAGAAATTATCTTACCGCCGATCTGTACGCGTGTTTTTACGCCGCTGTAAAATGGGTTATGAAACAGGCAAATGTCGATTCTAATTGGTTATTAACGTTGTCTATTTTTCCTATTCTAACGGATAGCCGGGAAGTTCTTTTCGTGCCTGTAATTTTTACGATATACTTACATTAAATTAGTGAGTTAACGGTGCCGCGCAACACAGAAAGGACACGATTCTTTACATACTTTCACTTTATATCGGTAACGAAATATCGCGTTGCTGATTTTCAAACGTTACACGATTATTCAATTTTCCTTACCTGACCGCCGATGAGCACGTGGCGCATGTTCACTGCGTGTGAGCTGGCAGTACTTCGAATATACTTTAGCCAATTGTTCGCCTCGTGAGACGCATCCAACCAGCCTCTTACTCCGCTGCCAGCTATGCGAACCTGGAACACGTCAATGCACAAATGTCACTCTATAAATCGCAAATTATAATGATATAAAAAGGATTAAGTATTAAGAGACGCCCGCTTGAGAAGGAGGCCCAGGTTCAAACCCCGACTAAGGTCAATTTTTCGCAATAAATTTAAAATCATTCAGACTAACATCCTGTCTTGGCTCTATATCCTTTATTCCTTCGAATTGTGACCTCAGAGCCTTATGAATTTTATTGATTAAATATTCATACAGGGTGCTTAAACGCTTGTCATACAAACATAAATATTGCAAAATCCTCAAGGTAGTTAATAACACAATGAAAAATCGTATTACGGGTATGAAAAAGCTAAACTTCAATTTTTATAATAAGACCAGTGTTGGTTCGGTTTCTGTGCTGATATTTAAGTCGCGCGATAAAATTATTTTTCGGATTGGGTCGGCGCACGTGCGCCCAGCGGCACGTAAGCACTTGTATATTTCCGGCGCGGCGAGAAACCGCAACGTTTTTGGATTCGGAACATTGCGTTTAACGGACTGTCGCTCACGGATATCGTCCTCTCATCGCCCTTGCATTTGCCCTGACTTCTCGCTCCAGCATCCACGTTCCCTACTTTTAGGGCGAGACAAGTGATTTTTTTCAATTGTCTAGCGCGGCCTCGACGCGACGCTTGGCCGGCCAAGCGTCTCACCCCGGTGCGTCGGCGTCGTTCCTGGACACCCCATTTGCCAACGGGAAGCTACGAACATTCTCCCCGTCACCCTCGCCTCGTGTGGTAAAACACATTTTGCACTTCTATCATGAACCTCGTTGTCTCCCACCGTTTACAAAAATATTTCGACCATTGACTGTTGTACGCGTCAAGTGGGATCACTTATGCAATTATTATCCTCGTGCAAGATAAAAGTATCGCAATCAGTGGGCAGAAAATGTGTATCAACCATCAAGCACGACTATATCACATTAATTGCGTATACTTGTAAGATTTTAAATGGTGATGAAAATATAATGTTAATTATTCTTTTATTGTGATATTAAAGAAATTAGAAAAAAATTTTTTGAACTTATCAAATTAAATTAAATTAAAATCACAATAATAATTTTTATTAGTAAAATAGTTAATTATCGTTCTAAGATTACAACTCGTTCACGTTCGTGCTCAATACTAAGTTTTTTGTATTAAATATTTTGTCATCCCAGTGTGATTAAAAAATTAAATTTTATAATGTGTGTATAAATTCACGCACAGCTGACGCAATATTTCATATCGCTACTTTTATAACAAAAATAGGTTAAAACAACGTTGTTTTTATTTTGACTAACGCAAACATTTGGCACTCTTTTTTAATTTTTTTTAAAGATAAGTTTTATTGTCTAGCACAAGAAAAATCTTTTCTCTTCTTCTTGGTATTATCATATATTCTTAATTCATGCAGAATTTGATGTAACAAGTAGAAACCATATCGTTGGTGATACGGTGAAGGCAATTCTGTATTTCGTTTTTGCAATTTTTAAAAATTTATCAGAATCTCATGTCTAATTGTTTGCAACAAGAGTTGGCCTGTAGGCTTGCACCACCTGCTGGTCTTAAGTACAACTAGTGTGCTTTGTAAAAATCAATAAATCTCGGAGGTGGATAAGGGTTGATTCTACAGGTAAGTAATCCCGGTCAGCGTTTCAAATAATAAGAAGTATTTCTTCATTAGGACCTTTGGAGATTTAAAAATCCGCAGGGAGGGAATAAGCCTGACGGGTTTCAAAAACATCAGATGAACCGCAAAACATCTGGTTCACTTTGGCACTTCCTTTCATTCACAAACCGCCGTCTTTTCCCCAATTCGATCTTCATCTTCCTATTCTTTTGTGAGCCTTCATCTCCTTCCTAATCTGTATTTAGAATTCATGGAATGCAAAAGCGCATTCCTACTATTTTTGTACTGCAGTTACTATGTATACCTTATTGATATTTTATGTTAGTTATATATCTAAGAATTTAAATTTATATAAAAATCGCAAGTAATAAAGAATATGTGGAATTATATCAAAGAATTTGATGCTCGGCTCCCTGAATTAATATTATGACAAAAAGAATACATTGTCACTCAAATGTTTAATAAAAACAGTTAATCAGGAAAGGGAAAAGACATACAAAATTTACATAGATGTCTATGTAAATATAATAAATCCGCATATAAACACGTTATGTGAATTGAAAAGAATATATCACTTCCAGTATCGCGCCTTGATGTATTAATTCACGGGCGGTTGAGAAACTCGTGTGACAGTCGACAATACCGTATAGGAAGCAGGACAGTTCGGTGAAGGACGATGAAAAGGAATCAAGGCGGCACGAATCCTCGACGGTCATAATCGCTACTTTGCTACTGGCGACCATTAACGTACGTTTTTGGAAGATGGGCAAGAACCTGAGCACTAGAATAGAACTTCTCACTAGGTTACACGACAGATTAGGATCTGTCCCGGAGTCTCACCCACGACAATGATGTGCTAACTTGTGCATTGGCGTAGCAATTCTTCGCATTTCTTTGCGAGATATGATATATTGCTTATTTACAAAACTCATGTCAGAAGGTGCAAGGTACACAGAAGATACAAAATACACAGCGAAGAAAGCGGGTGGCGGGATAGCACCAGAAAGACAAATCTATGAAACGTGTCAAACATATTATCATGCATTTTGTCATATCCACTCGAAAAGGGATTTAAATATTTAAATCCAACTTATAGAGCAGTGTGGATAACAATTTTAACAATAAGAAACGTTACGTTAAATTTCAATAAACGTTAATATTACTAATTTATTGTAACTGTTTATAAAATGTCCGCTCCAATTACAACGGCAAGTTCTGGCCGCGTTTTCGACATTTGTCAGGAAAATTGAGATGCGGAGGACAGAAAGAAAAATTCGTCACTGGCTTTAACGACCCAGCGGGGAAGTTTCGTTCGCTTTGTCGGCATACGCGGACATGTGCTAACAATTCGTAGGACAGATTTGTCTGGTTGTGAATATCACCCGTGATCGTGCCGCGCCATTCTACTCGAAACTGAAAATTATAATGCTAGAAATTGTATCGTCGCAAGCATAGAACGTCTTAATAGGTCGTCTCAGGTAATCTCGGGTCACGGTGGCTTCGTAGTATTGAAGATCTCGCGCTTTTCCTGTATGAAGTACGAAAATATACTGTTCCGTTAAAAGTTCACATACCAAAGAATTATTTAACTATACTTCATAACAATAAATGAAGCATGAAACAACAAAGAAAAATTAATGCCTCAATAATAAAAATGAATATCAAATTGACAACTACAAGTTATTGTACATTTGAATTTTAAGTCTTATAAAATATTGTTTGAGATGGTCTTCGTTCTCTCTACCAGTCGAAGTAGAAGTCGAAAATTCGACGAATAGAATTTTCTTAGAACAAGCGAAAGATATTTACAAAACTGGGTAAAAGATTTTCACTTGTTACCAAGAAAAATCTGGTATAAGGGAAAGCCTAAACATCCTGTCCATCGGATGATCTACAGGACATGCGGTCGGGAAATCCTCGGATAACTCGGCAAGGGATTCACAGGATTGTCCCAATACACAAAACACGCGTACCCCACCCTCCCTCTTGCCCTTTGTAATCTCACACCTTCAACAATGCGAACAAAAGGTTCCTCTATGTCGCTTAGGTTTTACCAAAGATATTCCACGAAAGAGAAGCTGCCTGACAAGACACAACAGATTGTCATTCTGAATGGACCCGTAAGCGGTAACGGCATCGTTGGAACTGCGAACGTTATAGTATCAACTGCATATTGGTATCTATCGTTCAGATTTTCCGTGGAATTTTATATACGCTTTTTCAACGACAGTACAAAGTATTCATGAAAGGTCTACATTTGTGGTATAGATAACGTTTCCGTTATATTTAGGGTCTCAAAATTTAATATATTTATAAAGATTGTATTGCACTCAGTAAACACAGTTTGCTTTTTGTTTTTATCTCTGATTACTAGTTGATTGGCGTAAAATTGTAATGGGGGAACAGTATGGTAATGTTTAGTTTCTAAGCTGGCATTTTAGTTCTAAGCAGAGTTTACATAATTCTGTATCAATATATTAATGACGCAAGATTATAAAGCATATACAATATAATGAAAGTTACTCTGTAGATAAAAAGAAAGTGTCCTCGGCTACAGCAACGGCCAACGAAAGTTATGAATAAAGCGGATCGATGGTGGATGATAGCCTCATGATGGCCGACGCAAAAATGCTTTTAGCCGACACACTGTGTCCTCCCTCTCTTGCGGAGAAAATCCATTCCGCAAGTTAACCGACTCGCAGAATTGCCGACGAGTGCCGGCGCCACTTTCATATTTGATAAAGCTTTTATTAGAAAAGATTATTAAATTTGCGATTATAAACAATAAAATATTACTTTGAAAATATCAAGTGTCTTTTAATATTGTATGTTCAAATTAACAATTAATTTAACCGACATGTCAGATTATATTTGTTGACAAAATCGCTAAAGTTGTACGATTGTGCGTTTCGTAATTTATTCGTCGTATTAACAAAAAAATAATTGGACGATAAATTGGCATATCAAGTCTAAATATACGCGTTTCTTTTTTCGTGTAACGACTTATTTTTAAGATTGTTTGTTAGTAAAATTATCGTGATACTCAAACGAAATAATTGATTACCGATATTAATATCGACTTGCCAGGCAATAAACATGAATGAACCGTATGTATCCATCATGGGAGCGAATAAGCGAGATTATGCTCGTGTGACATACAACAATGGCGTATCGAATTTCATTTCTCTATCCCCTTTCTACGAGAGCAGAGAAGAAAAAGGGGAGAACGGGGGAAGGAGAGAGAAAGAAGAAACGAATGAGAGGTCGTCTCACGTAAACATCAACTGCGTTAGCACATTGGCGAATTTCCCAGACTCGTCGATGTCACTTTTCACTGTTTCGGGAGATTCGTGGAGTG